GACATAGTACCTGACACAAAGGAAGTGTTCAGTAAGTCAAAAAGAAGAAGAGGAGAGAGGAAGAGCAGGAAGAAGAAAGAACTGCATTCTATCTTATTTATTTCCTAGACTCTTACTTCTAGGGGACAAATGGGGAGAAGCTGAATAAACTTTCAAGATCACAGTAGTTCAAGCCCTACTTCTTAAATATGAGGAAGCAAGGCCCACAGAGGTTGGTAACTTCCCCAGCGTCAGGCTGTTACTAGCAGAGCTGAGTTTCTTGCCCACTTCTCCTTATGCCCCTGTGCTCTTTCTATAGTAAAAACTTCATGCCAAGGGATGGGCTATAGGTTTTCAATAGGCAGCAGCAGAACAGTAAACCGCTGTGTCCCTGTGTCCAAAGCATTTCTACAGGCGAGCAAGGACGATGAACATTGTTGCCCACTGATGGCAGGTTCCCTATCACACATTTCCTGGGACACATGCTGTAGCATCTAAGTGAGAACAAATTAAAATGCTTCTCTGGTACATTCAGTAACCAAAGTTCTTTACAGGTTACAGCATTAACTAGAGTCACTCCAAGTTCTGTCCTCTGACAGACTGATGTCAGACTGACTCCTGTTCTCTCATACTTGTAACAGGAAATGTGTCTCATTCTCTTCACTAACAAACATTTAGAACATGCCTCCTCTGGGTAACACACTATGTTAGCCTCTACAGCTATGAAGAGAGGTATAGAACATGGGTCCTGCATGTGTGGTGTTTGAAATCTGTGAGGAGATAGAACACACATATGAAAGATAACCTCAAAGTGGGTGTATCTAAGTACAAATGAGAGGAGCAAAGGATAAGGCTATAGGATTTCTAGGAAGCCCTCCAGGGAATTAGAAAATCTAAACACAGACTTCCCTGCATGTAACTGAACGATATCCACCATGGTAATTAAGGTTCAAAAATATAAGTATTCGCCAGACATGAAATTAACACTGTTTATCTCAATTTATATATTACTGTTATATCACCAAATTCCAAATCATCAGAAACAAACTATCTTGAGATCTGGCTCATATTTATGAAACAAATACTATCCTCATAACTCATGTCAAACAAAAAAACTATATTGAGAAATATTTCATATATAAAAGTAAAATATGTATGTATTGTTAAAACACACACTTATAACCTCCCAACAAACAAAAGTCCAGGGCTGGATGGCTTCACTGGTGAACTCTACCAAACATTCAAAGAAGATTTAATACCTATTCTTCTCAAATTCTTCCCCCAAAAAATTGAGGAGCAAGGAATGCTTGCAAACTCATTTTAAGGCCAGCATTACCCCGAGGCTAAAACCAGACAAGGACACCATAAAAACAGAAAATTATAGGCCAATATCCCTGATGAACATAGATGCAAACATCCACAACAGAGTATTAGCAAACTGAATCCAACAATCCATTAAAAGGATCATATACCAACATTAAGTGAGATTTACTTCAGGGATACAAGGATGGTTCAACATCAAATAATGTGACATTAATGAAATGAAAGATAAAAATCATATGATCATCTCAACAGATGCAGAAAAAGCATTTGACAAAATTCAACATCCATTTACAATAAAAACTCAAGAAAATGGGTATAAAGGAAATATACCTCAACATAATAAAGGCTATATATGAAAAACTCACAGCTTTTAAGACCAGAAACAAGACTAGGAGGCCAACTCTCCCCACTTTTATTCAACATAGTATTGGAAGTCCTAGCCACAGCAATCAGACAAGACATAAAGAAGAAATAAATGGTATCCAAACTGCTAAGAAAGAAGTAAAACTGTCACCATTTAACAGATGGCACAATATTTTATAGAGAAAACCCAAAAAAGGCTACCCAAAACTGTTAAAACTAATAAATGAATTCAATAAAGTTACAGTATACGAAATTGAAATACAAAAATCTGTTGCTTTTCTATACATTAATAACAAACTATCAGAAAGAGAAATGGAGAAAAAAATCTCATTTATAATTCCATCAAATAATACCTAAAAATAAACTTAACCAAGAAGGTGAAAGACCTATACAGTGAAAACTATAAGACACTGATGAAAAAAAAACTGAAAATGACACAAATAAATGTGAAGATATTCCACACTCATGGATTGGAAGAATTATTATTGTTAAAATGTCCATTCTATCCAAAGCAATTTACAGATTCAATGCAATCCTTATCAAAATTCCAATGGCATTTTTCACAAACTAGAACAAATCATTCTAATTCTAATAATTGTATGGGACCACAAAAGACCCCAAATAGCCAAAGCAATCTTGGGAAAAAAGAATGAAGTTAGATGTATCACACTTCCTGACTTCAAACTAAACTACAAAGCTACAGTAATCAAAACAGTATGATTTTGCCATAAAAGCAGACACACAATTTAATAGAACAGAACAGAGTGGAAATAAACCCATGCATACGTGGTCAATTAATTTATGACAAAGGAGGCAAGAGCATACAATACAGAAAGGACAGTATCATCAATAAATGGTGTTGAGAAACTGGACAGCCACATGCAAAAGAAAGGAACTGAATCACTATTTTACAACATATACAAAAATTAACTCAAAAAATGGATTAGACTTGGATGTGAGACCTAAAGCCATAAAACTCCTAGAAGAGTCATGGAACACTGCATCAAAAACTAATGATGTAATGTATGGTGGTTAACATAACAATAAAAAAATTATTAAAAAAAAAAAAAAAAACTCCTAGAAGAAAACATAGGTGGTAAGCACCTTGACAATAATGTTAGTGATGTGGTTTTGGGTTTGACTCCAAAGGCAAGGACAACAAAAACAAAAATAAACAAATGGGACTATACCAAACTTAAAAAGCCACTAAACAAAACAAAACAAAACAAAACCAAAAAAGCTTCTGCACAGACAGGGAAATCATCAGCAAAATTAAAAGGCAATCTAAGGAATGGGAGAAGATATTTGCTAATATATATCCCATAGGGGTTAATATCCAAAATATACAAAGAACTCATACAACTCAATAACAACAACAACATCTGATTTAAAATCGGGCACAGAATCTGAATAGGTATTTTTCCAAAGAAGACATACAAATGTCCAATAAGCACTTGAAAGATGCTCAACATCACTAATCATCAGGGGGATGCAAATCAAAACCACAATGAGATATCACCTCATACCTGCCAAAATGGCTATTATCAAAAAGACAAGACATAACAAGTGTTGGTGAGGGTATGGAGAAAAACGAACCCTCACGCACAATGTGAGCTGGTGTAGCCACCATGGAAAACAGTATGAAGTTTCCTCAAAAAATTAAAAATAGAATCATTATATGATCCAGCAAGTCCACTTCTGGGTATCTATCAAAATAACAAAAACATGAATTTGATAAAATACATGCCTGCTTATGTTCACTGCAGCATTATTTCTAATAGCCAAGATTTGGAAACAACCTAAGTATTGATAGATGAATGGATAAAGAAGATGTGGAATGCGTGTGTGTGCGTGCACGCATACAGACACGGACTACTACTCAGCCTCAAAAAAGAATGAAATATTACCATTTGCAACACCATGGACAAGACTTTACGGTACTATGCCATGTGAAATAAGCCACACAGAGAAAGATAAATACCGCATGATTTCACTTACATGTGGAAGCTAAAACCAACCAACAAAACAAAACCCAGACTCACAGATACAGAGAACAGACTGGTGGTTGCCAGAGGGAGGGAAGTAAAATGGGTGAAGTGTATCAAGAGGTACGAAACTCCACCTATAAATAAGTCAAGGAAATATAATCTACAGCATGGGGAATCCATTCAATAATATTCTATTAACTTTGGGGACAAATGGTAACTAGACTTACTGTAGTTATCAGTTCCCAGAGTAGACACATGTCAAATCACTATGCTGTACACACGAAATTAATTTGTATGTCAATTATACTCCAATAAAAAGACACATACTTGTAAAATTAAAATATGTGTCTTGTTGAAATACATACTATTTTATTTTCAGCATCACCAAATATCAGGGCTAGAAAGTAACCAAGTTGCAGTGTATCCATTTATTAGCTGTTCCGTTCACCCTTACACATCCCTAGCAATGGCTTCTCATCCTATGCTTGACAACCTCCAGTGACAGTAACCTGACTAGCTGATGAGGCAGTACGGTTCATCTTTGGACATTCATCTATTTCGTTCTACATAAAAGCAATGTACTTCCAACTGGGAAAATTTGCAATACGGGAAGAGAAAGTGGAATGTTTTCTAATTCGTTACAGAAGTATCTGCCTTTCGTTCTTAAGTTTTTTTCCGAGGTCTATTTCATGAGATTGATAAGTACAATGGTCAGTAAGCCTGTACAGTAACATTCCTGTACGTGGACAGTCCCTTCAGGAAGCTCACTATGAGAAATTAGGTAATGCAAAGAAAACAAGTGCTATATAAGAATTCAGCAAAAAATACTGCATTGAGAGTATCTACAACATCTGTTAATCCTACAGTATCTAGAATAATGTTTCATGTAAAGTATGTTCCTGTGTAGCAATAGAAAGAGCTTGATCTTGCAATAAGTGCATTTATTAATCTTGCAAGAAACATGCATTTATTATCATTATATTCTATTTAATGTGGCCCAAAAGCATACAGTTTAAGAAAATGCTTACTGCTGGGATTTAAACAAAAAGGGTGTAGTTGCTTTGTGCTGCATTAGCTGAAAAATAAACCATTATGGGTTCTACTGTATTCTACGATTTACCCCATTACCAAGATTTCTGGCTATGCAAGCAGTTAACTTTTCACACAAACTTAGGCCCCTTGTACAACTAGTTGATTAAACAATCATCTTGTTCGCTATTGATAGATTAAAATAGTAACATTAACAAATGAATTAAATGGGAATACTTTTCCATCTACCACCACCACCATGGGTCAAAGCAGGATAAAGCAGCAGTGGGAGGGGAGAAGGGGTCACTTGACTCTTACCACTTGGCCAACTGGGTATATCCCATCTGTACCTCTGCAGGACGGTAGAGGACGGGCTTTCCAACTCACCTGTGTTTTGAGAATAACATCCACAAATTTAAACTTTCACCCAAACCTCATGCAGTTCTCCATAATTTGAGCTGCCCTGAGGAGGTATATTCCAGAGCCATCATCCTTTACAGCAGAAGTGAAGGGTGCAGGCATTTGCATTTTTGTACTCTGCCTCTAGCAGGTCCCCACTGAGCATGTGGTTCAGAGCAGGCTAACAAGGCTGCTAGGTGGGGATACAATGATGAACAAGACCCAGGAGGTTACTGTACAATCCAGCAGCAGGATCAGAAGAATGCTAGCCCCCCCCCCCAAATGTCTACTATGGATGCTTTTACCTGTTATCAACACAACTTATGGACTGGCTATCTATAGTTAGTGCTAATTTACGTGTTTCTTGAGGCATGGCTAATGAATTCTCCACCGCTTTTTTCTCGAGTCCCCTTTGTAAGTACTGTTAGACATGTATTACCAGCAGCGTAGCAGTGCCTGGCAGGGACGCTCTTCTTTAGACCCTCCGGTAGCAGATAAACACAGCATTGGAAAACGGCTGATGGGGTGTGTGATGGAGTGTGGAGCAGATCGTGAGGAGAAAAACAGGGAAGCAACACCAAAATCAAAGACAAATGCAAGACTGGTGAGGGGACAGGGGAAGGTCAGCAGCCTGTGGGGGTGGAGGAGAAGAAAGGGGTGCAAATGCACTGACTCCAACCCTCATTTGCACATCTGAACTAGAACTTTGCTTCAGACACAGTGTAATGCCTTCAATTCTTTTTAAAATTTTGGTACTTGAGGAAGTAACCCCAAAAGGCAGTCTCTACCACTCCCTGTCAGCTAATATGAAGAAGCACTGTGCATAAAACATGAGACTTTGCACCCCACAATCCCAGATGAAGACAGAGAAGAGCAAATTCTTCAATGAGGTGAACCCTGACCTCTGTTAGCACCAAGAAGACTGCTTACACACGAGGAAGGAGAGAAGCAGAATACAAGGGAAGCGGGTTCCAGGGGAAAACCAGGAGCAGTGAACAGGAAGTGGTGAAGGGTAAAGAGGGAGAAGGGGAGAATTACTATCCCTACATCTGTCCATACCACGGTTCTTCAGATACAGATGGTGTTCAAGCAATGACTCCATCAACCAAAACCCTCGGGAACTACAAATAAATCATCCTGACAAATACCTGAAAAGTTTCAGGCTGCCAAACTAATACCGATGCTCATTGTTAAAACAAAACAAAACAAAATGAACAATTCTGCTGTAAACTCACTCAGGTTTTAAGCTCAGGGTCATCATGTATTGTACACTATCATTTTTACAAGTAAAATTTAGAGCACAGTTATTGGCTCTTGTTAATAATCCAATGCCCCAAAGTCTGCCAACATTTATTCCAAAGCACTCCCAGAAGACTTCTTATAAAAACTGGCTTATTTCCCAAGTGAACAGGTACAGGATGTGTATCAATGCTTTTAAAACCTGCCCCTGGCCAGTTTCCTAAAGAAACAGCAGCAGGAAATATAAGCCAGATGTGGACCTTTCAGTATCTGAACCAGATATCATGAGATTCTATAGACCTATTTAAATTTATTTAAATAAAGCCCCGACGATATGGCTGCAAATTCACAAAGTATGACTATAAACCACTTTATGGAAAAGGAACTAAAAATTCAGTATTTGGGGGCAACTAGTGTAAGGCAAATTCTATTCAGCACAAGAGTTAAAATGCTAGTACTGTATTTAACAAAGCCAAAATGTAAGCGAATACACAGAATCCAGTGAGGAAAAGAATTTAATGCAAGTGTCATCAGTTTAAGTTCTGTTTTCCCAACCACAAGCAGATGTTGAATCTGCCTGGCATCGGCTTAAAAATATGCATGAGGTTTTTGCTGGGAAGCAAAGCGGCATCACCTGTTTGGAGAGCTGTCTTAACAGTTACACCTGAATCCCCTCCACGGAGAACAAAGCAGAGGACACGTGAAAATACCTGCAAATGTGTAATATACGTCATTCTAGAGCCAGCTTTTCTTCTCTATATGTTATTATCGAGCACTGCCCTGAAAATACCCCAATTGCAGAGAAGAAAAATGAAGTCCGACTTATACAACATCTCAAATTGAATGCAGTGATTTAAAGAAAGTCAAAACTAAACTCTGACTCTAGATAGTGTGGTAAGAATGAACTGTAGGATTAGCAACAGACGAAAATCAAAAATAAGTTTTCAGGATTTTGTATTTTTAACACAGCCTATTTATTGAGTCACGGTACTTTCCCCAGTTAATTATTAACCACATACCTACCAATCCTTTTCAAGAAACGCACAGGGGAAAAAAAAAAATCACAGCTCATTCTTCTGTTATCTTTCCCATAAGAAAAAAAACCCAAAACGACCCCTGGAAGACAACCACACAAAATAGTCAAGCACTTCGGATGCTGCCCAGTACAATCACACTTACTGATCTTTTCCTCAGCTCTTGAGAAAGGAAAACAGCAGAGCTGACCCATGGCACTGGTGCTGTCTTTCCTTCCAGGTGCTCTTCTCCCCGGGCGCCCCAAATAGAAGCTGCAGCCTGTGCAGCGGTCTGTGAGCACGCCCTGCCTATTCCACTCCCAGCAGCAGCCGGAGCTCCAAGAGCCAATGCACAGCCGGCAGAGAGAAAGGAGAAGGGGACTCGCCGTGAGCAAAAAGGCTCCACCTCCCAGTCCTCCAGCCAGAGGCAAGGGCTCTGGGGCCGGCATTCAGTGAGAGAAGTAGCCACATGCTCGCCCAATTCTCTCACCCAGCTGAGAGCTCCCGGGCTCCGCTCCATGCCACGAGCACAGCCTGCAGAACCTTGTGTGTCTTGAAGCGAGATCGTCCAGAACAAACCACAATGAGTGGTCCTCTCTCCCGCAAACAAATATAGTAATTACACCGAGAAAGCCAAAGAAAAACAAAATGCCTACATTTTCGGCCTGCTATTTAAAGAGGAAGAGCTTTCTTTTATCCCCAGGAAATTTGGGGTTCTTTGTATGTTTTATGGGTAAGGAAGCTGACGTGGCAGAACACTGAGAACACAACTTGGACGAAGTACCACTAGTGACCTGCTAGCTGCACCGACCGTAGGAACAACGGAAAAAGTGGGGGCAAAAGACAATCCTGTTGTCGGCACTTTACAGTGTAGCTGTTAAAGTTAAATGTCTGCTTTCTGAAACACTGCTGTGCTCTTCTATTAAATCAGTACTACGGACTTTGAAATCAGAGCATCAAATATGTCATTGGCCCAGAAAATTCCCCAAATCTAGAAGCACCACTGAGAAAAAGATCAGAGATAAGAGCACCTTTCAGAATGAATCCATGACATGGCCAAGCAAATTCAGGGACAGCACAGCAACTAATTTTAAAACACAATATTTGAACTTCATGACAGGAGATAAATGACTTCAAGTAACAGCTCCGAATCTGTTCCCTTAAATAGGGAACAGCCTTACTTTATGACACTACAGGAATGAAAGACAGCTCTTAGTGCCCGAAATACCATCCAAATTCCTGCCGTCCTCCTCTACTTCCAACAAGGCACACACACACCCATCTACCAGGAGGTGGGAGGATGATCATGAAAACTTGCCGTGGTTCTGGATGCAGGATGCCTGCTTTCATACCCCTCTGAACAAGAAGAGTATGCAGTCTGGAAAAGTAACAGCTGTCTGTTTTTTTATGTTAAACATTACTTCCTGCATTTAAAGAAAGAAATATTTGTAGTAAACACTCTTCACTGAAAAAAATTGAGTAATTCTTGGCATTCCCCAATCATCAACGTTGATGTCGCCATAAAACCTTTAGAAGTAGAAAGCCAGAGGTTTGAATCCCAGATTTGCCAGATATTAGCAGTTCTGAAATATTGACCTCTTTGTCAGAGTTTGGATTATCTTCCTCTGTAAGACCTGGAAATCAGGTTAGGTTCATTATAAAGTTTTTAACTTGTTGCGAAGTAGATAGTGTTTGGGAGGAAGGAAAGAGGCAGAGAACGGATAACTATAGCTATTTGCACCTATGTCTTTTTAGCACCAGCCAGTAATCTCTCTTCCTCCTGTTCCAATCTCCTGCCCCACGAGCTGCCATCTTGAGTTACTGCTTACACATTATACATGTGGACTCCGGGCAAAAAGTCCCCTCACCCCGATGCAGCACTCAGGGGATAATACTCTGTGATGAACCCTACACCAACTTCACTTCATTAATTAATTCCTATTGGCACTACTTCTGACAACATGCAATTAAGAATAAAAATATAAGTAACAGTGTATACCTCAGGATATCCCGCAGTCCAAGGGGGAAATATATATAATGTCAGATATCTCTCTCTCTCTCTCTCTAATGTCAGAGATTTTTTTTTCATAGGCACTGAGTGAATCAACCATAATACAAGATTAGAAAAACAATTGAAAAATTCAAGACAGGAATTTTTAAACTGGCTTTTAATTGTGCAAATAATTAGCATATCATTTAACCTCAAGGAGAGGATGGAGTCTGGTTTCCTCTCACTAAGGTTTCTCTCTGTTCTGGAAGGCTATACTTTCATACTGTAGGTCATGGCTACTCTCAGCGCAGGATTTACAGGAATGGTCTTCACGTTGCATATTTTTGTGTTTCTTTCAATAAAGATGATTCATTAAATATACAATTAAATGTAATTTCCCTTCTATAGATTTCATAAGAGTTTCCATATACCCACATTTTCAACTCAAAATAAGAGAGACATTCATAAGTCTGGATTTTTGTTTGTTTGAAAAACAAACTATACATAGGTTGGGAATACTGGTGAAAAAAACTGATTTTTTTTTCCCCACCATCACATGCCCCTTCCTCAAAGTTGAATAGCTACCATACAGAAGGACCTAGAAATGATGATCTAGTCATCATTTACCCAATTGTTTAGGAATACAACAGTCTGTAACTGACTTGAATAGTACAAGATACAAGCCCCTCCTTGCCCTTCCTTGTCTCACAAAAACAATCAACTAATAAACTGAGCAAGAATAAATGCTAAGATTTCCTGGACACTTACTATATGCCAGGCTCTTGCTAAGTGCTTTACATTTACTCATTCATTTCATCCCTACCACAGTTCTGTGAGGGAGGGAGTATTTTATCCCCTTTTTACAGAGGGAAAAAGTTGAGCTCAGAAAAAAACTAAGCCAAAATCTCTCAGAGAATATAGGACAATAATGGGATTTGAACTCAATTTGCGTGGCTGCCCAAATCCTGAGCATCTCATCCCAGAGTTCTGTATTATTAAACACAATTTGTATGGGGTATCAGGTATATACCTTATGAGCAGCTGACCTCAATATCAGAATAATGCACAGAAAAATAGTTATTTAACCAAGCTCAATGGTAATATGTTTAAATGTCTTGGTTTCTCATGTTTTGTCACCAAATTCCTTTATTCATAGGGCACAAGTAGTATAATCCTATGAAGGCAGATCCCTTATAGGAGCTGGAGCCTAGCTCTGCTGCTTGCCATGCTGTGGGCAGGACTCTATCTAGAGCACAGAAATACCAGAATGGCCCCTGAAAGCATTCACCTTCCAGGAAAAATAGCAACTCCTATCAGTCATGAGGAATCCCTGAGAATATTAATGGGATTTTGTTAGAGGATTAACAGACTCCTTTCAGTCATATAGAGAGATCTACCATAACTAGAAGATTTTAAAAAGAAGTTAACCTGAATGAGAAAACCTGATATGATATCATGTTCATAACTTTAAAGCTATAACCTTTTCGGGTTTTCTTTTCTCACAGGCCTACCTACAAACAAATCATGGTTAGGACAGATACCTGTCTGCTACAGTTGCTTGGATTCTTGTTACAATGGTTAAAATGGTAGGAAGGAAACTAAACAGTATGAGGGGGTGGCTGCTGACTCTTCTCCATGTGCTTTGATCAGCTCTGACAATACTGTCTCTAAGGGGACAACAGAATTCTTAACTATGACCAAAACTCTATTCCCTGTATCACTGGGTAGCATTATTTTCAATCTGAAAACACATATACTTGGATTTCTGAGCAACCTGGCTATATGAAAGTCTGACTCAAGGTAAAGAACAAATCTCACTGTAAGATTCTGAATCTATAAAACTGTCCAGATTACCACCTCTTCTGAGACCTCCAATTCATTAATTAAAGGGAATCTGCATTTGACAACTTACAGAAACACACGAGAAAGAAAATAAAGAAGTAAATGTTCCTTTATTAAAAAGAGTAGAGGGAAAGAGGACATTAAGTCATGAAGTGTAAAGAGAGGGAAAAAATCCTTTATCCCTCCAAATTCTGGAACCAAGCCCTTAGGAGACATGCCTTTAAGAGCAAGAGACAAACTTCAGGAAGATTTCATTATACAGCAGATGGCATGCTTATGGAAACTGTTATGCCAAGAAATGTCACAGTTTCAGTGAAAATGTATGTAAGTTCAAGAAATGCTTGACAATTCATGAAAATACAACTCATAAAAATTGGGTTGTTTTGGAATATATCCCAATTTCTTATGTTGATATCAGGGTGCCAAAAGACAATCAATCTGGGCCTTAAGAACGTTGGATGCACATATTCAATATTGTATCCTGTTTCTCTATGTTCTTGTAAAACGAAATTTCAATTTTCAATCATCAATCCACAAAGCATATATCACCCAGATCTAATGGATGTTCCTCTCCTCTTTACCCACTGTTACATCTTTGCAATCACTTTGTAACCAAAGGGCAAACTTCTGAAGCTACATGATTAAATATTGATCTTTGAAAGCTCTTTTTATGAATGTCTGTCTGAAAGAAAAAGAGGCTGAAAAAGTTATAACTGAAAAACTTCAAGGATTATCTGTAAATCTCACTGGTAAAGGTCTATTTTTAATTACCAGGTAAAAGAATCTTGATCTAACTGTGAAATTGGGGAACAAAGAATATTTTTTTACTATTATTCCTACATTAGTCATATTTTCAACAAGGACTTTTTATTTCTCTTTCCAGTGTTTTGTTTTTCTCTAAAACTGAAAGTTAGAGGTATTTGCATTTGAAACTGCCACATGCTATAGAATTTCAGTAGGTAATTGAAGGAAAAATGTGTTTTTTAAAACACAAGGAGAAAAACATAATGTACCACATACAGTGTATGTGCATTTAGGAAAGGGGAGGAAACAAGCAGATAACTAGAATTACAAAAGAAGTCCTTCTTTACCAATCCATAATGGTCACTCCCAAATCTCTGCTGATGCATGTCTACCTAGTGCCAATTCTCAAATGCTTTCTCCATGCTTATTATTAAGATCTTTTCTTCTGTTTTTTAAGATTTATTTACTTGTTTGAGAGAGGGGGAGCACAAGCAGGAGGGGCAGAGGGAAAGAGAGAGAATCTCAAGCAGACTCCCCGATGAGCACGGAGCCTGACATGGGGCTTGATCTCATGACCCGAGATCATGACCTGAGCCAAAACCAAGAGCCAGATGCTCAACCATACTGCGCCACCCACGC